GCTGAAACTGAGCTGATCTGGTCTGCCGCTCCCATCCACCCTGCCCCACACAGAGTTCCTTCTCTGGATTTCCCCACCTCAACACTGATTATTCTGGCAAACTGCATGTGACTCCAAACTTCTCTCCCCTTCCCCTTCCCCATGCCCGGTCAAGTGCTGCATCAAGTGCTGTCAACTCTACCTCCTGAACACCTCTCCAATGTCTCCACTTCTTCCCACTGCCATTGCTACTTTCTCATAGGCTCCTGCAGGCTCCTGTCATTTCTCACCTAGAATATTTCAACGGCTTGGGAACTCATTGCTCAGCTTCCAGTCTTGCGACTTCTGTGCAGTTTATTAGCCAAATCGCTGCCCAAGTATGTCCAAAATGCAAACCTGGCCGAGACACTCCTTCGTGGAAATACCTACTGTCCTTAATACAAAACGGCTTTGTGGTCCTGGTCTTCAGCCTCACTGGGGGCCAATCCTCTTTTCAACTCTAACCTCTCACAACCCTGAAATTCTTTATGTTCAACAGCTTTTTAGTTTAATTAAATTTCACTTATTTTGCTGTTGTTGCATTTGCTTTTGTGGTTTTAGCCATAAATTCTTTGCCTAGGCCAATATCCAGAAGGGTTTTTCTGAGGTTTCCTTCTATAATTTTTATGGTTTCAGGTCTGACATTTAATAACTCTTTAATCCATCTTAATTTTTTAATATGGTGAGGGATGGGGGTCAAGTTTCACTTTTCTGCATACAGTGATCCAATTTTACCAGCATCATTTGTAGACTAGGATGTCCTTTCCCCAGTGTACGTTTTTGGTCTGCTTTGCCAAAGATCACTTAGTTGTAGGTATGGGGATTTATTTCTGGACTCTCTATTCTTTTCCATGTGTTTACTCTAGTACCAGTGTCATGCTGTTTTAGTTATTTACAGCCTTTTAGTACAATTTGAAGTCCGGCTTTCTTGTTTTTGCTTAGGATTGCTTTAGCTATGCTGGCTCCTTTTTGGCTCCACATGAATTTTAAGATAGTTTTTTTCTAGATCTGTGAAAAATGATATTGGTAGTTTGATAGGGATTATACTGAATCTGTGGATTACTTTGTGAAATATGGTCATTTTAACAATGTTGATTCTTCCAATCCATGAGCATGGGATGTTTCTCCATTTATTTGTGTCTTCTACAGTTCCTTTGATCAGCGATTTTTTTTTTTTAGTTATCCTTGTAGAGATCATTCTCCTCCTTGGTTAAATATATTCCTAGGTGTTTTAGCTTTTTGGTTATTATTACAAATGGAACTGAGTTCTTGATTTGATTCTCAGCTTGGTCAATACTGGTATATAGCAGTGCTACTAAGTTGTGTATTTTTTTGTATCCTGAAACTTTACTGAGTTTATTTATCAAGCCCAGGAGTCTTTTAGAGGAGTCTTTAGGATTCTCTAGGTTTAAGATCATCTCATTGGCATACAGGGATAGTTTGATTTCTTCTTTTCAATGTGGATACCCGTTATACTGTTCTCTTGCCTGTTTGTCCTAGAAGTGATGGATTACATATCATTTTGAGTGCTCTAAAGGAATCAAGAATAATGCCAGAGAACGATGGCTTATTGGAAGGCCCACAAGTATAGAACTGCCTTAGCACATGTGAGCAAGGCCAGACAGACAAGAAGACAGCCATGCACATCATGGTCAAGAGTTTAAATTCTATTATTGGTAAAATAGAAAATCAGTAAAGAACTATAAGCCAAGGAAGGAAGTCAAAGATGTTTTTCTTCCTTATCATGACTCCGGCTAATTAGACAAGGGAAGGGTTTTAAAGCATCCTTATACTTTAGCCACATAGCTAAACATCTTCAGCAGAACAAATGCACATCTTTTGTTCAAATCTAAATCCCTCTTTCTGTATGGAAAAATAATATGAAAGACCACAATAGAACAGTATCATTTTATACCAACTTCAGTCAATTATTTTAAATTATCAATTTCTTCATCAATAAAGGAGAATACTCCCTTCTAGTTCAAAAACACTAAGACATTATAATAGAAAGATTTGGAAAAAAAAAAATATTACAAGAGGCAAAAATGAAACTGGCAGAATTCTGAACATCTCAATTTTTTTAAAGTAGGTTGCTAAATATTTTATAAATGATATAAAGCTTTGAAACAGATATTCTATAAAAAAAGAAAGATAAGTTATCTGAGTATTATAAAGTCTGTAAATACGGTGGTGAGTGCCATAGCATATAAAATTTAAGCTAAAAACTTTAGTAGTATGTAACAATGTTATTCTCAAAAGATACCTAACACAGAAAAAATTCTCTCATCATTGACAACATTCCAAAATGACTACTTTAATTAGTCATTAAAGCTTACATGTTAAGAACAAATAATCATGAATAGTCTAACAAATATTTTTGCTTTCCATTAAATTACAGGTAACTTGTCAGCTGTTAGTAACCTTTGATAAAAGGTCTTGAAATTTAAAGTAGTAATTCATGTATACGAATAAACTCAATAGGGCACAAAGAAAATGTCATATTTGTACGCTGTTCTCTATTTGAAAAAAAAATTCAAACAGTTAAAAGCTTATTTTACATGGAAAACATCTCCTAAGATTTTGCATGTTCAGGTCCAGGTAGTTATTTTTTCTGCACTCACCCATCGTCCTCAACTACACAAGAGAATAAGCCATGATATGTAGTTTTTTTTCCTCCATTCCTGTTACATCTGGCTATTTTTACTAATCCTTTCCAGAATTCTCAGAATCATTCAACAGTAGTGTTTCTTTATAAATGTTAAAATTCAGATTTCAGAAAGTAATGACTTCTTTTGTTTACTAACAGGATCTATGGGAATAATGTTTTGCAAAAATTACAGGTGACATCTAAACAGGCAAACCAATGCTTAACTACTTAGAAAATAAGTCATCCAGCAGCCACAAATTCCCTAAAGATTGTGGCAGAAGTGTGTAAAAGGGTTCCAAATACTTGAAGAAACCTGGAAGGTATATATTAAAATAAAGAAACATATTGGAAAGGTGATTACTCTTCAAAGTTAATATGGCAACCCCATTGAAATGCAACATTTTTTTCTAGGAAAAGAAACTTAAGAAGATGAAATAGATGCTTTATATAAAATATTTACATATACAATGCACAGAACCCACTATGGTTAGTAACCTTTATGGCTTTGAAGAACAAGATATTTACATGTCTTTCTTTCTGCATGTGTGTGTGCGTATGTGTGTTTTGTATATATTTTTAACAGTTGACAGCTGTTTTAGAGCATACAGAGATGCCAAGCTGAATGAGGGTCTTGATTACTTCAAGATTAGCTATCTAAAGTTTCTATTCATTTTAAGTGTTGTTAGTTGGAAGAGTCATTAGTCACTTCCTTGTCTCATAGAACATCAGCATACATTTACATTGTTAATGAACATTTGGGGTAAATGAATTAATGGCACTTTTAAACATCAATTCAGTCCTAATAACTTAGTATGTCATAGAAATGTTAGGCTAGGATATAAATGAAAAAACTGTTTAGTAAAGGTAACTACTCATTCCTGCAAACAATAAAAAATAAAATTAATTTAAAATGTTTTTTAACCAGGTTAAAAAAAAATCTCATCAAATATTTAATGAAATAGACCAGAAGAAAATATCGACTTAAAAAACAAACAATTTTAAAAAAACCTATATTCTCAAATAAGCATAGACATCAAAAATAGTTTTAAAAATTTAGGTGAACTATCTTATATACTTGTAACACAAATACATATTCACTTATAAAACACCCACTTATAGAAGTACTTGCAAAATAATTTGACATGTAATTATGAGTGCTTCTTATGGGTACTGCATTCAAAAGAAAATTCACTAGAAAAGGTATCATGCTTACCACTAAGATATTAAAATACTGAAACAGAAATAGAACTACTAATTTTCATACGGTCGAAATCTTAAACAGCAGTTCTGAGTACTTCTATGACATCAAATATAAAAATAAAAAATAAATTCTCGTATTTTCATTGAAAACAATGGCATTTGTATGATGTAAAAAGTAATAAAGACGCACACAAGGCATAAACACACTCCACAGAGAGTTTGTATTCTAAAAAAAATTCACTTTACATAACAGTCATTTATTTTTAAAAATCTCAAAATATGAGTTAATGGCAGACCTTGACATCAATACTGACAAAAAAAAAAATAATTTGAAGGAAGTAAGACATACATGAATTACTTTGACTAATTTACATTTTAAAATCGATCTCACAATCCTGATATATGCATTCATGAGTTAAAAAAATAAAAGTAATCACTGAATCAACGAACTTTATCAAATATTTAGTGAATTACCTAAAAATAAAAAAAGGCTTCCAGAACTCTCACAAACTCATTGCTTCCTTCTAAGAAAGTATGTTATCACCACCATTAAGTAAGTATTGAGAAAACAATAGAACTCTGATACAGACACATTTGATACATTTTTATAGGGCAGAATTTGAATACAGGTTACCTTTTAACAGTCTACCATTTAACCATCTCAATGTATAAATCTTTTAAAAATATCACACAAATTGTAACTTTTTCTGTAAAAAAAGAAGATGAATCAGTTAAGGTTTTACTCCGAAAGAAGCTCAACTTGCTGAAGGTAAAAACAAAAATCCCTGAAAAATCAACACCAAAAATTTAAGACACTTTAAAAACATGTTTGACAAAGGTCACCTTGAATTTCAACATTCTTATACTGAAGTCACTGTTTATTTTATGATCTTTTTTTTAAAGAATGACAGTGCATTAAACATTTGGCAAATGCTTCTGCTAATAACTGAAACTCTGGCTACAGCCACTGGGGCCAAGAGGACTCTGTACATTCCAGAGAAATGTTCTTAGCATTGCCCTGCTCAGCTTCTCCGAGAAAATTGCGTACGCTGCACAGACTGAGCTGATCGGAGCCCCTCGGCCAGGGTTCTGGTCAGTGCCCTCCCCACGGACAGCAGCTGTGTACAAGACTCACCTCCAGACTTGTGAGAGTGGCTGGACAAGGGGTCAATGCCAACTTCTTGTTCTTCTGGCTGCAGAGGGTGTCTAGTCTCAGATAAGGAATGATACATTGTGGGCACTGGACAGTGACACCAAAAGGAACTACCTGAGAGGTGAAAAATATAGAGAAAATAATAAATTCCTTTTTTTCCATTCTATGAGTGGGAATAAATACAAGTCTGAAATGATTAAACAAGCATTACAGACATTAACAGGCTCCAGGACTGTTACTACACATCAGTAGGCTTATGCAAAGAAGAGGAAAATGCAGCAAAAATTTCCATTTCAACAATTCCTCGAAAAATCTGGACTTAATTTATATCCTTTATCTCAGTGTTGAATCACATTTATTTTCAATAAGCTTGAGCACAAAAAGCTGAACTGTAAATTAAAGAAACTATTTTCACATTTATAGCATCCTTTTGTTTTACAGCTAAAATAATACACATTCATAATAGAAACTTTTGAAATCTAGAAAGCATAGCAAATTAAAATTATTCATAATAGTATTAGCTAGAAATACCACTGTTAACATTTTAGTATATTACAAATATCCTTCCAGTCTTTGTTCTGGGTGTTTAAAATACATGCTTTTTACTGTGATCCATCATGTTAAATATATTTATTATGTACTCTACCTTAAATTGAGTGTTTTCCACCTCAGTTTTTTTAAACTATCTACATTATAATTTCTAATGGATCTCTCACTTCTATTATATAGCTAGCACAATTTATGTAACCCATTCCTTATTAGTAAACAATTAGGATGACTTCTTTTGCTCAATGCTATAAACAGCTCACAATAAATATTTCTTATCAGTATCTGTGTCATACCCACAGTTATGACTTTAGGATAAATTCTTTTAAGTGCAATTGCTGGACTAAAACAAACATTTTTTAAAGATAACATTTTATAATAAATTGTGCTCTAGAAAGATTTGAATCTAAAAGAACAATTCATTTTCTCTGGATTCTCATTAGCAATTGATATTTCTTTTTTTTTAAACTAATTTGATAGTAAAATTTTATATTGAATTTATAATTAGTGAGATTACTGAAGACTTCACGTTTCTTGGATATTTACCGTCTTGTGTTAATGCAGTTAATTGTTATGATTGCTTTCATGATATATAAGTATGCTTTAAGTAGTATTAAAGACAGTAAACCTTTGTCATATGATACATACGTTTTTCCCCAAAGTGTGTCCATCATTAAGTTTTATGGCATTTTTAAATTGCCATAAAACTTAATGATGGACACATATGTAATTTCTATATCTAATCTATCTATCTATCCATCTATCTCTATTATAATTTCTGCCTTTGGTATTAAGTTTACAATGATGAGATTATACATATATAACCACCTATATTTCCTTTTGTCATTTTGAAGTTTCTCCCCCTCGATTCTTATTTATATATGTATTATTCCAAACTGAAAAAATTTAATAAAATTATTTTGAACTTCCAAGGTGCACAACTTGTAAACTGTCTTGTCCATACGGTGCAAATTACTTTTATAAGTCAAAATTCATCCAAAATAATGCAAGTAACATATTCCTTTAAATTTCAGGAGCAGTGGGGGCACGGAAGAGGAAATGAGAAAAGATATGTGGAAAAAGCAAGTCCAACCAAAGTGAGTACCTAATCCCTGGGATATGGTCTTCACCTGAGATGCCTGTGAACACACAGGTCTTCAACTGCCTTTTCTCAGCACAATATGTTCCCCTACTCCATTGACTTTCTCTATAAAACTATCAGCTTATAAAGTAGGTACTCACGTCCATTTTCTGATATTTATCAGAAGCCTCCAACAGCTTCCCACCCCCACAGTCACAGTCAGATGTTAACACAATCCCAGTTCCCTTTCGTAGCTAACATGCAGTACCCATTTCTAAAGCCATAAATGCTAAATCCATAAACCTAAACAGTTGTCAGTATTTGTTTATGCATGCAAACCAATAAGCACACACTGAGCGCTCACTATATACAAGAAACTCTAGGGAATATGATCCAGAAGAGGATAGCAAGATATAAATGATCAGTTATAGCATAAAACAGAATCTGATAAATTCTGTTAAGAGAGAGTAAATTCTCTACCAAGGAGCAGTCAAGATGACCAAATTCAAACACCTAATGAGGTCAGGCAAAAAGCATGATAGTTAACATTTACGAGCAATGAACAGATGTCAAAAAACACTCTAACTGAATCGTTAGTATGCTAGTCATTTCATCCTCCCCGGACTTATTTCCATGTTACCAAAGAGAAAACGGAGGTCTGGCAAGATGAAGTGATGAGTTTGGAGTTACAGAGGCAGTAAGCAATGAAGCCAGAATTCGAATCCAGTCTCTAGCTCTGGAGCTCACCTTCTCTGCCTGCATGACCTCTGGCTCTCAGGAAGTCAAGGAGATAAGAAGACCCAGTGTAGAGCAGGGGCAGAAGAGGAGGGTCTGTGAATCATTAGAACTCCCTTTATCTGCTGCTGTAGTTGTTCAAAGACAAGCTCGAAATCCAGAATTTTGTGTGACGTTTTCTTATTTGTAAGTGTTGGCAAATAAATCAAATTTTTAAAAAAACTGTGTGGAACAGATTAAACATATTCCAAAATTGCATTTGGCCCATGGGCAACTATTTTAATGTAAGACCTATATTCTCAATACATTTTGTTAAACTCAAAAGATACAAAAGTACACATTTGCGAATGTCTGCGACTAGTTAACTGCGAGACTCTTTTAAGTTTTCTTTAATATCCTACACTATGCTTCATAATCTCATTAGCTTAATTTCTTATTTTTACAGTACCCTTCCACTGTTATAGGCTTCACATATCTAAAACACAAAAAAATGAATTTTATGTATTTTAAACTTTATGAAAAGTAGACAAGTGACAAGCAAGCTAATATCAAAGTTTATTTTTAAAAGGAACATTAAAAAATTCACCTTTATACAGTGAAAATGAAATAATCTATGACATAATGATGCTCAAATATTCATTAAGGTGATTCTTCATAGAAAGTTAAGTGAATTTAGCATTAACTCTAATTTTTTAAGACTTGACAAGTCTGTGGTAACCAGAATACAAAATTAACCAAAAACTCCAGTCCTACAATCAGTCTATATAATCAAGCATTCATTATATTCTAATTTATTATGCCTATTGATTGAAAGTGAATCACTGAAATGTTTTTATAATTAAATAAAGCAAACCTGCTGACTAGTAATAATGAGATATTTTCAAGCAATCTGTTGGAAAAAAAGTTTGAATAATGTTCTTAGTTTTCTGTTAATTATGGATTTTAATAATAACCTAATGCAAAAGTAAGTATTAAGAATCTGCTGCTTTGGCTTTCCTCCGTTTAGTTCTAAACATGAACTATTTTAGCTTTCTAGAATCTAAAAAGAAAATAAAAACCCTTAAAGTGTGTTGGCTACTGATACTGTGATAACTATGAAATCACAATATAATGTCGCTTCTACACGTGACGTTATTTTCTTTCTTTTTTTTTTTTAAGTTGAAGTCTCACTCGGTCGCCCAGGCTGGAGTGCAGGGGCCGCTCCCAGCCACCGCAACCTCGACCTGCTGGGCTCCAGCGATCCTTCTGCTCAGCCTTCCACGTAGCTGGAACTACAGGTGTGCGCTACCATGCCAGGCTAATGTTCTTTTGATTTATTGTAGAGGCGAGGTTTCTCCAAGTAGTCCGGGCGGGTCTCGAACCCACCGAGCTCGACAGTGGCATTATTTTCTTAAGAATGTACTCACAGCTGGGCTCAGAGGCTCAGCCCGTCATCCCAGCACTTTGGGAGGACGAGACGAGTGGACGGCCTGTGCCCACGGGTTCGAGACCTGCCCGGGCAACTTGGCGAGACTGCGTCTCTACAATAAATCAAAAATTAGCCGGGCACGGTAGCGCGCGCCTGTCGTTCTGGCTACTTGGAAGGCAGAGGTGGAAGGATCGCTGGCGCCTAGCAGGTTGACGCTGGAGTGGCCATGAGTGTGCCACCGCCCTCTGGTCTGGGCATTGGAATGAGACTCCAACTCAAAAAAAAAAAAAAAGTCAAGACTAATCTAAGGACAGAGATACTGTAGTTCCAGTTTGTATCAAATTTTAAGAGAAAAGCAATCTGTCTGAAAGAAGAAAAGTCTTTTGCAAACAGTATTTAATAAGAGGACAAGAGTTTAACACCAAAGCTTAAAAGACAGTTTTAAAGTACACTAACAATTTCAAAACAATATTGTCATGTAAACTGAACCAATAAAAGCAGTCTCTAAGCAAAAATTTCAAATGATTAGGACCGTAGGATAAAATAACAGATTAGCTGAATGACATCATCTCTTTTAAATTGGCATCACGTAAACAGAACCTCTACAAAAAGAATTTCTTCCCTCTGAATATGAAGTTCTATGTATTTAGGCCTATATTCATCCCTACACGGTTTCTAATAAGGCAATGAATTAGCATTCTGAATTGTGTCATTCGAAAGACATCCATATTCAGAAAAGCTCATATAAGCATACTTCACTCATTTAAATTCTTGACTGATGGTAAACTTAGAAGTCAAACACTGAAATGACATAGTATTACTTTATATAAAGATTTATCCTATAACAAAAGCATACCAAACACCTTAAATGTACTACTTTCAGAGTTTGATTTAAAAAGGGAAGGAAGATACAACATGAATAAATATGTGTTATAGGAAGCATGTATTTGCCATGATGGGTTTTTAACCTGAAATATGCCATCTTAGCTATAAAAGCAAGCTTCTTTGACAGGGTAATTGAATAGCTACAGAATTGGTAACAAAAAACTTTTTTGTTAAATTTAGAAATGTTGGTAGCTAACGATAAATTTGACGATTGGAAATAATGATGTTCTACAGTCTTTAATTACAGGGGAGAAAAGGAGGAAGGAAGGGAGGAAAGAAAGAAGAAAGCAAAAAACAAAAAAGAAAGAATACAGTCCATTTTTAAATTCTGTCAATCTTTAATGCAGACGGGTTACATTGGACTTAATAAGTTAATTAAGTATTAAAATCAATCATCTGAAAGTCTTAATATTTAATATTGTTAGATTGTATATCAAAGTAGTTTTATTATTTATTTA